CCTATACTAGGGAGCTTTCGATTGCACGACGTAAACGTAATGGCTTCATGTCATCTCCGCATCCGAGAACGTTAAATTCTCACGCTCGCACGATTTCTAGGACGCAATTTTGGCAAAATCTACGTTGTGCAGAGGACCTAGGAAGCATGAGTGAATCCGTTCTGCGCCCCGTCGTTGTGCAAATCGAAAGCTCCTAATGATAGTTTTGGTGTGACGAGTTGTTATAAGTAATTATGGTAAATCGAGATTTAGCTATCAGAACGAGTGCTGGACTTAATGTGTGAATATCTAGAAATGGTTTATTAAGAATCAATAACAGCATTTGTAAATCCATTCTCAAAGCACTTGGAATAAAATGATCTTGCATTCATTATATCACTTCTTAATTTCCCGCTAAATTGTGATATTTATAAGACCACTTTTAGTTCCGGTTTCTACTTAGAGGTATTCTAATTAGAGACCAAAGGTACTAAAAACCACCAAAACTCCGGTCCCAAAAGTTGTCTTCAATTGTAGGGAGACATGCATTCTTTTCGTGGGTTTCTTGCAAAAGGAATGCCGGCAGTACTGGGAACAATGTGCTAAACATTTTATAAAATTCTGAATATAAGAAAAAAAATACTCTTGAAAACAATTGTTTCAAAAGATTTTTTCAATAATTATATTTCATTAAAACATGCCGACAACAATCAATAAGCTGTATGCCAGATAAACTTATATAATTCATGTAATAAAAATTTTTTTTTATACAATTTACATTATACCATTTCTAATCTTATTTAATTTTTAGTCTTAATTTTTTCGACTTCAGCAGCCCAGTTTTTACAAATGCAATGACATTTCATTTCATTTTATTCAATATCAAAATCGCAGTAGAGGACTTAATTAAATGATACTTACAAACAGAACAGTAATATAAAAACATCAAAGGAAAGTAATAATATTTGACATGCGAAATCATGTTGACCAACAGTACAGTTTCCATTATAGGGTATTTCTAATTTAAAGAAAAATACTTTCTTTTTTTTTCTCTTTTAAATGAAAAACCAAAGAGAATAGAGAATAGTAAGTTAAACCATTACGATACTTTTATCTATAGAGGTTGACTATTCCAGTTTAAACTACAAGGTACTACAGAGTTTCAGGGGCCCTCTTAAAGAAGCTGGGAGTGGAAAAATTATTCGTAATAAAAATATGTGGTGTCACCTTACAAGCTTAAATGCGAAATAAAAAGTCAAAGTAGACGATTCTGTTTTATTATTATTACTATTATTATTATTATTATTATTATTATTATTATTATTATTATTATTATTATTATTATTATTATTATTATTATTATTATTATTATTGGTATCGCACATTGGATCAACATCCAATGGAATTACATTATTCCTGAATCTTGGTGACTACAAGTCTAATAAAACTTCTAGGACCTTCCTGAGGATCCTCGCCGTGTTCAGAATCACACTTTTCTGAAGTTCATCTATTCTGGTCTCTATAACGATTTGTTGTTGTTATTATTATTATTAATTATTATTATTATTATTATTATTATTATTATTATTATTATTATTATTATTATTATTATTATTATTATTATTATTATTAATATTATTATTATTATTATATTGTAAGTTTTATTTGTTTTAATGGATTTTCATTAATTCAAAGTTTGTAAATGTATGCCTTATGACAAAGATATTTCAAATATTCTGTTATGTTGGGAATATCACATGTATACTTCCGAGCGAAAGCCCCACGAAACGACACATGGACTCGTGTATTAGAGTATTACCAATCGATCTTTTAGAATATTCCATTCAAAATGTAGGGGTTACGCTGTGATATTACGTCAGAGGGCGACCGCAAGCTTGGAAAATCCAACAGACCTTAATTTTGTTTTAACATTATTGACGTTACGCAATAATAAATATGTTATTGGTATTATCTTTTCACAAGAGTTAAGGCCTGTTTACACTGATAACGATTAACGATAAAAAGCTTAAAATATATGAAATAAAAGAAATAAGAGAAGTTTTCACACTAGGAAGATTCGAATACGATTTATCGTGTATTCCTATACGTTAAAAATATTTTCAAACATCAAATCAAATGACGTCATATTCATGGGAAAACGATAAAATCGTTTTCCCGTGATTAATTTGATTTGTGAAAATTATTTTTTTAACGTATACACAATAAGTCGTTATCGAATCGTACTAGTGTCAAAACTTCTGTTAATTCTTTTATTTTCTATATGCGGAAGAATTGCTTTTTAGCTTTTTTTCATTGATCATTATCGACATAGTGTAAACAGGCCTTTCGTGTACTTGGACCCCAATTGAGTATCTACGGTATTTTAAA